CCTTCGGCTGGGACGAGCACCTCGCGGCGCTCACGGCGGCCCTCGCGGGCGCGGCGGCGCCCGCGGTCCTGCGGCGGCGCTGGGACGCGCCGCGGTCGAACGCGCAGCTCGTCGCGATCACGCTCTACGACGCGGTCACGGGCGACATGGGCGTCGGCGGCAACGCGCTCTTCGCGCTCGTCGCGTGCGCGGGCTTCGCGTGGCAGTACGCGTGGATCTTCCTCCTGCTCGACGTGCTGCTCATCAGCGACGACCTCCAGAACCTGCTCAAGGCCGTCATCCTGCCCTGGCGCCAGCTCGCGCTCGCGCTCTACAGCCTCCTCGTCTTCACGGCGATCCTGAGCGTCGTCAACTTCTACCTCAACGCCGCGGACGACGACGGGGCCGTCGGCGGCGTCCACCAGCTCCACGCGCCCGCGGGCGTCGACGACGACGACTACGGCGCCGGCCGGGCGCCGCGTGGATGCCGCGCGCGCCGCCCGACGTCGACGGGCGCGCGCGCGCCGAGGGGGCGGCGCCCGTCCGGACCGTCGTTCGCGTCGGCGCGGCCGGGGTCGCGCGTTCGAAGCTCGGCGGGGACGTCCCGAGCCCGCGTCCGGGAACCGCGCAGGCCAGGAGACGGTCTGCGCGTCGCCCTGGACCTGCCTCCTGCGCGACGTCTACGTGGGCCTCGTCGACGGCCAGATGTTCACGGCGACGCTGGGCATGGACCACTTCGACGGGCCGAGCCCCGGGCGGGACACGAGACGAGTCCGCGCGACTTCACCGCGCGCGCGTTCGCGCGACGTCGACGGCGTCGTTCCTCGCGCGCGTCGAAGGCGCTCGCCGAGCGACGACGATCCGTCCGAACCCCGGCCGAGGCGACGTCGACGCGACCGGGACGGGCGAGGCTTTCGACCGTCGCCGGACCGGCCCGCGCCACCGGCCGCGCCCCCCCGCAGGCTGAGCCCGACCGACGCGATGCGGCGGCGCGCGAACCTCAGCCGCGTCCTCGTGCAGCTCACGTTCTTCATTCTCGTGACGCTGCTCCTCATCAACGTCTTCACGGGCATCATCCTGGACACGTTCTCGAGCCTGCGGGAGGAGCTCAGCGGGCGCAAGGAGAAGGAGAAGTACGAGTGCTTCGTCTGCGGCGTCGACCGGACGACGCTCGACGACTTCGGCATCGACAAGGAGGACCACGAGACGCACGAGCACAACAAGTGGGACTACCTCCTCTACCTCGACCACGTGCGGTCGCGCGCGAGCGACGTCGCGCCCCTCACGGGCGTCGCCGCCTACGTCGCCGCGTGCGACGCGGCGGGCGACCACGACTGGCTCCCGCTCGACACGTCCTTCCGCCTCGAGCAGCTCGCCAAGGGCGACGAGAAGCGCACGAACGTCAGCCACGACCTCCGCCCCGTCTACGACACGCTCCTCGCGACGCAGGCCGCCGTCGCGCGGCTCCGGGACGACGTCGCCGCGGACGTCCGCGCCGCGCTCGCGGCGCCGCGGGCGGGCCGCGCCGCCGCGCCGGCGCGCGCCCCGCCACCGCCCGGCTCGCCCCGGTAGCCGACGCGCTCAAGCGCCGCGAGGCCCGCGCCTCGATAATCGAGTTCGTCTCGGTGTCTGCGCGGCGGTCGGAGTGGTGGGCGGAGTGGTGATGCGAGCGTCTCTTATGCCACCCCCCGAAAGCCAGAGGCGGATATTCATATCACGGGGAACCAGTTGGTCCGGACCCGATGCGCGTCTCGCTATCTCGCGCACCATTTCAAATAGAAACGTCCGTACATACGCAAAATTAGGACGCGCGGTCGTAGAAATTGGGACGGTCGGTGCAAACAAAAAATGGTCGGTGACGCCGGTCGTAAAAGAGGGGCCTCACGTTCTGTCGAGCCAGGCGACGACGGTATGGACGATGCGCGCGACGTCGAGGAGAAGTGCGCTCGAGGGATTCTCGAAATGTTCTTCGTCGTGGGCCTGGCGACGAGCGCCCGCCTGCCAAGCACGACGGTAAGGATTTTTCATCGTTTCCCCAGCCGAAATCTCTCGAAAGTCGTCACGGCCACAGGACGCTGCGCAGCCCACCCATCCCACGCACGGCCAGCCGCAAAAAATGAGCGGCACGCCGTCCCGTTCCAGCCGCTCGACGACCTTGGCGTCGGTCCACGACGCGATCGTCGCCGGGGCCAGCAAATCGCCGTCCAGCTCGATAGGAACGTCGGGATAGTGCCGCGCGGCGCGGCGCGAGTAGGTGCCGAGGGCCGGGGTCCAACAGTCAACCGCGGAGATACGACGGAGCGGCGCGCCGGCGCGCTTGAGCACCGGCAGCTCGGCGCCCGTACCGCAGCAGAAGCTCCATAAAGGGCGCGGCGCGCCGCGCGCGAGCGCGTTGGGCGAGCTCTGGACAAAGATCTCCGGATAGGCGCGCAGCAGCGCCAGGGGCGAAAAGCTGCTGCCGAGCAGCTTCATTTCAGTCGCCCAGACGTCGGACACGCCCGATGGGGGGCAATCGAGGTCGCGGAGCCAGGCCGTCGGCGAGCGTCCGTCGTCGTCGAGCTCGTGCCCGAGGACGGCCGCGGCGTCGTCGGGCGACAGCCGCCGGTAGGACGCGACGCCGCTGCGGTCCACGGGATTTGGCACGAGGTTGCAGACTGTGGTCAACGATTTCAAGGCCTCGACGTCATTTCGGCTGAGACGGCTCCTGGACCAGACGCCGCCGCGCCACCGGGGCCCGCGCAGACGTAGGATCGCATTGACGGCGTCAACCGCGTCCCGCGACGACACGCACGCTAGGTGGTCAGGATCAGCGGCCCGCAGATAGGACGAATCGCTGGTCCCGATGCAGCGGAGGCGCGTCCGCTCGTCCTCGGGCAGCGCCCACTCCGGGAAGAGGGCGAGGGCCTTGTAGTGCGACAGAACGCAGGCCCGAGTGCAGCTCCCCGCGCACTTGCAGATCTTGGGCTCGGGGAAGATGACCTGCGGGTTGACGAAGAGCGCGCCTACCACATGCGTCGGTGACGATTTTTCGTGGATTTACTGGTCGAAGTCTCTCGAAACTCGTCACGGCCGCAAGACGCTGGAGCGCGCGGGGGCGCGACGACGGAGCGTGGTTTTTGAGTTGGGTGGCGAGCGGTTTTACCCCGAGCGCGAGGCTTGCGAGCGTCAGCGTCCGATTCGAGTCCGCGTGCCCCACACCCATCGTATTCTCGAAGACTAAGACGAGGCGATCGTGACCCCGCCGCTCCGCTAGGGGGACCGCCCGCGCGGACCGTTTCCACCACGCTCGTCAAACGCGGCAAAAAGCTCGGAACGTCGAGGCCCGCGAGCGCCTGCGGCGGCGGGCAGTCCACGTCGTCGTCGTCGCGAGCCGCCCTTCCGATGAGGTGTCGCATCGCCAGAGTCGCGTCCGTCACCTCCTTTGCGGTTCCCGACGCCTTCACGCGCGCGAGGCCCGCGCTCCACGCGGCGGACGCGGCGACGTCCAGCGAGAGCGCTCTGCAGACGAGGGCGGCGTACGTCGGAACGTCCAACAGACCGCGGGGCACGTCGACGTACCCGTGCGCGAGCGTCCGGGCGGCCCTGCGTTCCTCGAGGGCCAAGGCGATCGCTGGGAGCCACGCGAGGTAGCCGCGCAGATAGACGTCGACCCACTCTTCCGGGCTCGGACCCGTAGCGCCCTCGGCGACCGCGATGAGCTCGGGGCGCACGTGGCCTGTCTGCATGTCGGATTTCATCTTTGCCACCGAGCCGCCGGCCCAGTCGAGCCACGCGATGGCGACCTTGCCCCTGCGGGCCGGCCACGCGTCTTCCGGCAAGACGAGCGCGGGATACTCCTCGTTCTTCTTGCCCCAGGGCGCGTTCACGATGCAGCCGGAAAATGAGGGGGGCGTCGCCGGCGCTGGGAGGGCGGCCTCGGCCGTGGGGATGGCGGCCGCGGGGGGCGCTAGAGCCGCCGCGGCGTCCCCGGCGGCTTCCGCGGCGGCGGCGGCGGCGGCGGCGGCGTCGTCCGCGGCCGCGGCGTCGCCCGCGACGGCGGCGGCGGCGGCGGCGCCGGCGAGCAGCGACGAGAGTCGCGCGGGCACGTCGTCGTCCTCTATCGCCTTCCAGTTCAGATCTATGATTGCGTTGGCCGCGGCGACTCTGGCCTCGGCGGCGGGCGCCGCGGATTCGACGCCGAGCGCCGGAGGCGAGGTAACAGCTACCGAATTGGGCTTTGCCCGCGTCCGCGGTCCTTCCAGCACGTTCTTCGCGTGCAGCCCGCAGAGATAGTTGGCATCGTAGTGGCGCTGCTCGCGGTCGCAGACCTGCGTTTGTTCGAGCCACGCCGCCGCGTCCCGAACCGCCTGCCGCGTCGCCTCGCGCGCGGGCGGCGGTGGCGAAGTCGACGCGCGGCGACTCCTTTGCTTGGTCGTCTGCGGCGTGTCGACGGTTGCTCGGTGCGCCCGCGGTCGCCCGCGCTTCTTCGGCGGTTCGTGCTTCCGCGACGTTTCGCGCTTCCGCGGCGGTTGGGCGACACCGCCGCGGGAGGACGAGGCGCGGCACGCGCGCACGGGCCTCGCTGTTCCCGCCCCCGTGCCGGCGGGATCCGGGGCGGGATCCGCCATCTATCTGCGATGCGCCGTCATCACATTAAGGAATGATACAAGATATAGAATGATATAGTTGGATTAGGCTGGGTGTTGCCTACAACATGGGCTCCACCCAGCTCGGGGATTAGCCTAGTCTAGGACCCCCAGGAAAAGAATAGGGCCGGCTGGATGGGAGAAGATTTTCCTGGGGTGCGCTCAGGCGCACAATAATAAAAGAGGATGTCAGCGACAGACGATACTCGTACTCGAGTACGAGATATATCTTCGGTCTCTCTCCTCTGTATCCTGAATATCCTGGCTGATATATCCTGGCGGCTATATCACCTGCACATATTAAGGAATGATACAAGATATAGAATGATATAGTTGGATTAGGAGCTGGGTGTTGCCTTCAACATGGGCTCCAATGAAAAACCAAAACCGTTGCCATATTATGGTGGTAATTTGCCCTCAGCCTGACTCTTGACTAGGGTATGGTAATAATTAGTTAGTAGACTCCCTACTCAAGTAGGCAGCCTAATCTGCGATCGGGCTCTCTGTCCTCAATCGCTGGAGTTAAGTGAGTAGGAAAGAAAAAGGGTCATTCAATACGGATGAGTACCGCATGCCATATGCATGAGGGTCCTTCTGGTATTCCTAGTACAGTACGCTACACTACCACTACCCTACTACCATCATGCTAGTACTGTACCTACCCTAGTTAGGCTCTCCTTCCCGTTCCCCCCTCCTTTATATTCAGTTACTATCTTATGACTGCGCTACCGTAAGGTAGCACACTGAGCTTCCCCTCTCACCCACTGTGCCTATCCTGCTACTACGGACTGTACCTTAACGTCAAGTTGATGTACGGGACTTAGTTTCTTTACACTCCACTTTGGGTGGCTCATCAGGAGGACTGCCGGTACCATTGGCTCCTCCTTTAGGTTTCCCTTTGTTTCTCCAGCCTGCAGGCAGAATAGCGTCTTTGCCTAACTCCGATAGACACCCTGACCGAAACCGGCCGATACCGAGCGACTTTTCGATATTTGCCGATACTTGCAGTAGTTTTTGGGATCGACACCGGCCGACACCGCGACCGAGACCGGCCGAACCGGCCGGAATCGCTCGATAAATCGAATTACGACAATACCTCGACACCACACTTGCCGTGAAACGTATCCACTCCCGTCGGACTTGCTTGGTGGGGATGATGGATGAGCCAAAGGATGAGCCGCGGCGTCGACGGCCGAACCCGACGGCGGTCTTCGAGACGTCCCTGGGCACGTTCCGCGCGGAGATCTTCGCGGACCGCATGCCGCTGACGGCGTCGAACTTTTTGGACCTGGCCCAGCGCGGCTTCTACGACGGCCTTCACGTGCACCGCGTCGTGCCCAAGATGGCGCTCGTCTTCGGCTGCCCCTACTCCAGGGACGCGTTCAGCCCCCGGGCCGGCCAGGGCTTCCCGCCGCCGGGGAGCCGCTTCGCGACGTGGACCGACGGCCGGCCCGTGGCCCGCGACGGCCGGGGCGCCATCGTCGACGAGTTCCCCATGTGCCCGCGGCTCTCGAACCACGCGGGCACGCTGGCCATGTGCAACCTCGGCGAGCGCGACAGCTGCGGGTCCCAGTTCTTCGTCAACGTCGCGCACAACCTCTTCCTCGACTTCTTCGACGACAGCAGCCCCGCCGCGCACCCCGTCTTCGGGCGGCTCCTCGACGACGGCCTCGACCTCGCGAAGAAGATCGCCGAGGAGGCGACGGTCGGCCCGCTCGACGCGCCCGCGACCCCCGTGGAGGTCGTCGCCGTGACCGTCGACGACCCGGACGCGCCGCCCCCGGACCCGAGCGACGACCCCGTGCGCATGGGGCGGCAGGGCCCGGGCGCGGCGCTCCGCGCGCTCCTCGCGGACGACGGCTAAGGACCTTAGCCTAAGGTCCCGCGGGGAGGGTGCCGAGGTCTGCGCGTGCTTACGTGTCGGGGGCGGGGTCGACGGGCGTCGACGCCGCGCGCGGGGCCCCTAGCCCTGGTAGATGTCGGCGGACTTGTCCGTCTTGGCGTAGTAGGACTTGAGCTCGTTGACGTCGTCCGCGGAGCCGAGGATGCAGGGCACGCGCTGGTGGACGTTGGACGGCTCGATGTCGGCTCCGCGGTCCACGACGACCGCCGCCCACGGCGCCGCTCGG